ACACACACACACACACACACACACACACACACACACACACACACACAGAGATAGAGAAGACAATAGCAACATCTGCTTTAGCATTTAGGCATGACTGGATGTCGAGGAGAAGTGGCTTTGCCATGCTATTATCGTTTATTATTTTGGCAACTAATTAGGCAAACTTTTTGCTGTCTCTTTGTTTTATTTGGTACGTCTTTGGTTTGGTTTTGGTATCGTCTGGGTTTTTTTCGGGCAGCCTAGCACGTTTGACGAGCCGTGTCAGGGAAAAAGCATAGCCTCAATTTTCTACGTGCAGCCCATAAAGTTGATGTGTAATTTGGTTTTTACAAGCAATACGGCCAACTTGCCGAATGCTATTACAAGTTTTCAATTGTGTTAGGCCGACTTTCTGGCCAAGTTTGGAGTGCGGCATTAATAAACCATAACTAATGGCCATGCGAGTCTGACGACTGACAGCAGCTTAAAGACAATGCCAAGCACAGCAAACATTCTGTGCGATTCTGAAAAATTTAAGTTTGCAAAATGTTGAGCTTAGCTGGCGGCTGGAATTTAATACACAACAAGCACAAATCGAATGAAGCGCATAAAAAGCAAACAAGTAAATGAAATTTCCGCTCGTGTGCCGGGCATAGGAAGCCCTCGAAATAAACGACAGGAGCTGGCCAAAGGACCGGCACGAGGACAAAGACGAGGTAGAGGACGAGGGCGAGGAACGAGCTCCCCGAGCGACTGGACGATCGCTTAGTGGCAACACTAAATATGCTTCCTGCCTGGCTGCCAGGCTGAATGCCGGTATCAATAGCAGCTCTAGGTGTTGCTATATATACACATATATATATAGCAAGCACTAGTAAAGATGGCTTTGTGTTGTTATTTTGTTGTTGCCCTCTGCACAGGCGGAGTGTTTGCTGTTCGTTTGTTATTGTGCAGTTTAAAGTGTCCGGAAATATGCTTAGCTTTATGAATCCATTTAGACCTCAACTGCTGGCGTCTAGCCACGCCCAGTTGGCATTCTCTGCGGCCCAATCAGCTTAGTGTAAATTACAGTTGTGGCCGCAGCATAAAGTTATTTGCCAGGCAAAGTAACTACCACATAGAGCATTTTAGATAATATCTTTTGATTAGTGGCAACCGCAAAAACTTTAATTAAATTCGCACACAATTCTCTCTCTATCTCACAGTTTCTCTCTGTCTCTCTCTCTCTCTTTTTGTGTGTGTGTGGAAACTTTGTGCCCATGTCACCAGACAAGTTCAACGACGCGTAACTGTAGCCTAGTGTCGACATCTCCTTTCTCTGTCTGCGTTCCCCCCTCTCTCTCTCTGACACCCTCTCTTCCATCTTTAGTTTTAGGTCCTGCACACGCATGTCAGACTGGGCAGCTGGTAGCTGCCATTGTTTGGCTGTCGACTTTAAGTTTTAGAATAAAAACTTAATAGAAAACTTTGCGAGAGCAAACTTACCGTTAACTTCGGCTGTTCTTTGGAGTCGGCCAAAACTAACTAATGAATTAATTAGTTGATTTTTCGTGCTCAACTGAGCAAAAGTTGTGCTCGGCCCGAGCTAAACCACTTGAAGTTGTTCGTTCAAAATTCATTCATATTCATTTTATTTTTCATTTGTTTTCTTTTTTTTCTCAGTTTAAAGTCATGTTGGGCTCTTCCACAAAATATATGTATAGAAGTATAGTTATGTAACCCTCTGGATGTCATAAATTTGCTCACACAGCAAGCACACGGCAAGGGCAAGGGACAGTCAGCGCGACGCACAACACAACACAGCAAACACACACAAACACACACAGACAGACAGTTACACACACACACACGGACACAGCGTACTCGTAACTCATATCGAATTGCACCATTTGTTGTTTGTCTCCCTAGAGGATATTGAATCACTTGCGTTGTGTTCTTGTGGCTGTTCCTGTTGTTGGTGTTAGTGTTGTTGTTGCTATTGGATGTCGGTTGTTGGTTGCTGTCCGTTGGCTGTCCCGTGCCCGATGCGCGTCGTGTCCTGGCGCAAATGTCATGGCATTTTATCGTTTGACGCTTTCGAATTTGATAAATTTATCACAGCTTACAAAAATAAAGCGCAGGAAGTCATACGAATTTATGCAAATTATAAACAAATTCCTTTCATAGTTTATGTAATGGGCCAATGAGCTCACAGGCCAACAGCCACGTTCACGCACTCAAACATCAAGTTTGTCTTCGCTCGCCCCAGTCTGTCTCAGTTTCGTGAACATCGCTGTTGCCGGACGCATATGCCGAACATTACATGCCCTTTACAATGGGTGTATTACAAGTACAAAAAAAAGCTAAATAAAAAGTCAAGAATTCATTAAAGTACAATTGAAATAAGCTTAACCTAACCTAAAGTTTCATTCGTTTTGTCATGGCTATTTCTGTTGGTTTACGTTCATGTCTCTGTCTATTTGGAGCCCTTCTTCTTCTTGGGCATTTGCGCCCAGAGCCGGAAGAAGTACTCGTCGCGCTGAAGCAGCCTGCCCCGGGCATACGAGTGTATGTCCGCATCCATGTTGTGGTCCCGCAGCCAGGAGGATGTGTTGCATGTGCTCATCTCTGTGCGCGGCTCGTCGGGCAGGCTGGCATGACCTGCATCATATGAGAGTTATTGGAGTTGTTGTCGTTGGCGTTGGCTATGCTGTAAATCTGTGAGATAATAAACATTTCTACATACCGGCTGTCATCACTTTGTACGGCTCCTCCGATTCGAGCGGCTCACTCAGGCCAATCTCGTTCTTGGCGAGAATGCGTATCATGTACTCGTGATTCTCCTGCAGGTCTCTTATCTGGAATTTCTGCACCCCGGCTGGCACCCGACCGACCTCAATCCACATGGACTTCTTCATGTCACGTATGGCGATGTGGTAGCCGAGCAGTGGCGCACCACCATCTGACTCGGGTATACCCCATTCGAATACGTGTGCATTGGCCGCTAGCACTCGGGCCTCCAGTGGCGCCGTCGGTGGCGATGGTACAGCTGGTTGAAGAGTGGAAACGAATTAGAGCTGCGCCAAGCTGTCTAGCCAAGCTCAACTTACTTGCGTGTGTCTTCAGCGATATGCTCTCCGTGACGGCTGGCGCACCTAATCCAACCTCGTTCTCCGCTGACACACGGAACCAATACTCGCACTTGTCCTTCAGATTGTCTATGGTGTAATGCAGCTGATGGGCATCCAGGGTGATGACCTTTGTCCAGCTGGTCGATGTTGAAGAGCGCTTCTCCACGCAATAGCCTGCGGATACGCACAATGATTTCTTCTATTTCTGTTTCCATTTGGTAATTTGATATTATATCTCACCTGTGATTTCGGAACCTCCATTGCGGGCTGGCACCTCCCAATCGAGAGTCACGCTGCGGCTTGTCACATCCGGCGCTCTCAGATTTTGCGGAGGCGAAGGCGGCGCTAGAGTGGGAAGCATTAAAACGATTATTAATCAAAAAATACGATTGCAATTCCACGGAAGCTATCACGTACCCATGTTTACAATGTTATTCGCTGTTTTTTAATTATTTTTGCAAAGCGAAGCATTAGTGCGCGTTAAGGGAGAAAGCAGTTTGCAAAGCAAATTAAGCAATTATCATTATTAGTTGCGTCCATCACTTACTTATCTTGCGTCCAACGACAATCTTCTCAGTTGTCTCGAACGCGTCGCTGGTGCCAACCTCGTTCCGGGCGTAGATTCGGAACAGATAGCCCTTGTTTCTCACGACGTTTTCGACGTGAATGTTTGTTACAGTGCCCGTCGTAGTGCCCAAGGAGCGATAAACGGTTTCAGTCTCTTCCCTTATTTCCACAATGTACTCAATTATCTTGGAGCCACCGTCGCTCTCCGACGGCTCCCAGGACAATGTGAACGAAGTATCGTTCATGCCAGACACCGACGTGGGATCACGTGGTGGAGTTGGTTTCTCTGTTCATAGGAAGAGGGGAATGTTTGTTTTTATTAACTTACTCTCTGTTCAAATTGTTGTAGAGTACATACCAAACTTCTTGGTTATGGTCACAGGCTCACTCTCAGTTGGCTCAGATTCGCCAATGGGATTAACAGCCACCACTCGGAACATGTACTGTGCATTCATGGAAAGTTTTTGAATGGCATACGAGTTGATGTCCTTGTCGAAGTCAGAAACCTTCATCCAAACTTTGTTCTGTAGGTCGCATTTCTCCAGCGTATACTGCTTAATCTCCATGCCGCCGTCGTCGACTGGTGGCGTCCATTCCAGGATGATCGAGTCCTTTTTGACGTCCTTAACCTCCAGCGACTGTGGCCTGCTTGGCTTGTCGATCACTTGAACCGTGCATTCCGCATAGCTGGAGCCCGATTCATTGCTGGCCGTCACCTTGTAGCGGCCAGAGTGCTCGCGAGTCACCTTCTTAATGGTATACGTGGAGCTGGTCTCTGTGGTTTCGATCGTGACTTCCTTGGTTGACTTCTGTTCGACCGTCTCCTTGTGCCAGGTCACAGTCGGCTGTGGATAGCCGCGAACTGTTGCCGGAATGGTGAGAGTGCTGCCAGTGCGCAGTTTCTGGGACAAGTATTTGTCCTCGATTTCAACGGTTGGCTTCTGCTGCAGCTTCAGTCTGCACGACGTCTCCACGGAGCCCTTCTCGTTCGTGGCCACGCACGTGTAGGTGGCCTCAGTCTCAATAGTTGTCTTTTCAATGGTGTATTTGGCAACGCGATTCTCGTAGCGCAAGCTACTTGACTCGAACACTTGACCATTCTTCTTCCATGTGACAGTTGGCTCTGGAATGCCGCCAAACACACAGGACATGGTCACCTCCTTGTTCAGATCGCTGACAATATCCTGCAGAGGCTCCCGTACGCTGGGTGCTTCGGTCTCAATCTTGGGCACCAGGCGTATGGGCGACGAGATGGGAGAGGGCGGGGATGGACCAACTTCGTTGACGGCAATCGAGCGGAACACGTATTCCGTATCGATTTTCAGCTTGCTGATGGTATAAGTTGTGTCCTTAATCTTGCGTATCTCAGTCCATCTATTGGAATTGTCCGTTTAGCTTGAATTCAGATAATTTATCATAAAGATGCAACTTACTTTTCTTCTTTCACATCATGATACTCCAGAATGTATTCTATGATTTCAGATTTGCCATCATCTTCCGGCGCCTTCCAATAAAGCGTTATTGAATCGTGCATCACCTCCAGAGGCTGTGGCGTGCCTGGCGCCGTGGGTTTACCTAAAGTTTTGACACAGGTCTCAGTTTCCGCATCGCTTAATTTGTAATTAATTTTGTATACTTACGCATAATGAGCAAGTGCAGGCTGGCTTCCGCCTCGCCCACAGGGTTCACAAGTTTAACAGTGTACTCGCCCTCGTCATCGTCGACAACCTTCTTGATGGTCAGCGTTGCGGATTGCTCATCAATTGTGGGTATGGTACGCTTTGACTTGGGAATGACAACCTTGCGCGAGGTCCACTCGGCCTCGGGTGTGGGCGCTCCGGTGTACTTGACAGTGAATGTAGCATCTTCGTTCTCCTTCACTTTGATGGTTTGATCCTTGTCAGAGGTAATCACGGGCGGCAGTTTAAGCTCCTCAACGCATAGCTTGCTGCTGCTTGTGACGTTTTCGGCAACACAGCTGATCTCGCCCGCATCATCATCGTCGGCATCATGGATGACCAGGCGTCTGACGGTGCCCTCAACGAACACTTCATGCTTCTTGTTGGGCTTGATGGGTTTTCCCTTCTTATGCCAGGTAACTTCGACATCGGGCTGGGAGAGCTCAACAGTGAATTCAGCATCTGTGGTCTTGGTGGCCAGCGTGACGTCGGGCAAACGCAGTACAAAGTCTACCAACGGCTCCTCAACTGTCAGTTTTGCCTTGGAGACCTGGTCGCCAACTTGAATGGTATATTCGCCCGCATCTTCAGGCTTAGCCTTAAGAATGCGTAACGACTGCTTTTTACCATCAATCGCCAGTTGAATGCGTTCATTGAACTTGATTTCCTTGCCGTTCTTGAACCATTTTACCAGAGCGTCGCCCTTGCTCAACTCAATATCGAACACGGCATTCTCGCCCTTGGTGACGTTCACGTCCTCCAAGTGCTTCACAATCTCTGGTGGCAGTTCAATGACAGTCAGCTCTGCGCTGCACTCCTGGCCCTCCAGCTTGCACGTGTACTCGCCCTCATCGTGAATTGTGGAATCGCGTATTACCAAGCGTCTTGATTTGCCATCCTTGATGAATTCGCAGTTTTTGTTTTCTGGCGTAATTTTCTCGCCATCCTTGTACCAGGTGACCTCCACGGCTTCGGTTGTCAGCTCCACATCCAGAATGGCCGTGTCCTTTTCGGTGACCTCATAGTCCTCTAGCACCTTAAGGAAGTCCGGCTTACGCTGCAGCACTTCCACAGTTGATTGTGTCTCTTGCTTCTTGACCTTGCACACATAAGTACCGGAATCGCGTAAGTTTGTATTCCGGATGACCAATTTGTGCGTCTTGCCATCCTCGACGACAACACGATGATCCATGCCGCTCAGCTCTTTGCCATTGAAGAACCATTTGGTAGACACCACATGCGAGGTTTCGCACTCAAGTGTCAGAGACTGCACCTCCTCAATGGTAATGGTCTTCTTTAATTTCTTGGTAAAGGTCACCTCATCGACCTCAACAATCACACGCGCACCGTGCGATGTTTTGCCAATGGGATTGCTGGCGATGCACTTGTAGTCGCCCGAATCAGTTTCCGGATTGGCATCCTTGATAATGAGCTCAATATTTTCACCATCGTAGATCTGTTGAATTCGCTCACTGGTAAACAGGGGATTGTTGTTGAAAAGCCATTGTACCTCGGGCACAGGATTGCCCGAGACCTTAGCAGGCAAGTGAATCTCGCCCTTTTGTGGCACCGATTGCTCCTCAAAGCGCTCCACAAATAATGGAGGCTCTGCATTGCCACTCGTCGGTTCTAGTATGAGATGGAGACGGTTTTATTTTATTAATATTTAAGTAAATCATGATATATCCAGTTTTCGCTGAACATGAAACAAATTAACTTACCTTCAATTGTAAGATAAGCAGTGGTTTCTACACTGCCCAATGGATTGACAGCCTTGACTGTGTACTCGCCCTTCTCCGACTTTTTGGGCGTTATCAGTGTTAGGGTGTGGAGGTCTTTGTCTGATTTGGCATTCTTGATGGGCTTGCCATCCTTGTACCACGTTACCTTTGGCGCTGGATTGCCTACAATTTGTGTCGACAGCACCACACTTTCGCCCTCGCGTATAACCATATTGCGCAGGGGCTCCAGAATTTGTGGAGCCTCCTTGTCCGATGTTCGTACCTTCAGTGTGATAGGCAAACGAGCTTCGCCTTCACGATTTGTGGCAATCACTTCGTATACGCCCTCCTGTGATTTCTTAACCTTTGTAATGTGCACCACACTGCAATACATATGCATATCCGATTCGGTTACAATTCGAACATTCTTAGTCTCTTCCTCGTCAATGTCTTCCCCATTGAAGGTCCAAACGATGTCAGGCTCGGGCACCGCAACAAGACGGCACTCCAAGATTACATTGGTACCTTCATCGACATATTGGGCCTTGGGCTTGCGCGAGAATGTCGGCGGTATGCCCTCTAGAATATCGGCCATGGAAGACTCACGTGACATGCTTCTGCGCGACAGTGCCGTGGCATCTGAGCCGTGATCCGACAACGGGCTCTCGACAATTAATTCTGTGGTACTCGAAGTGAAGCCAGCGGCATTCTTGGCCACGCAAGTGAACTTGCCAGCGTCTTCGGGGAAGACTTCACGAATGATGAGTGTGGCCACATTGTCCTCATCGTAGAACATTTGGAAGTCTTGTGAGGGCTTTATAATGGCTGTTTCGCGGAACCAAGCGATTTGCGGTCGTGGATTACCTTCGACCTTGCATTCGAATTGCACTGTATAACCGTCAGGCGTATGAATTGGTTGCAGCTTTTCAATGAAACGCGGCGCAATTGGCTTGTCTTGCGGTCCTGGTCCTTAATAAGTGCACAAATCACAAAACATTAAGATAAGTGTTAATAACGTGACAGGACAATGTAATAACCCCTTGTTAGAATACAACAACATTTAGGTTTATATTTCACACTTACTTTCAAATACAGGTAGCTTATCGATCTTCTCGTGCAGCTTATTCTGTACATATTGGGCATACTCCGCGGGCTCCATAAGATATTGGGCCGGCACCCAACCTTCTTCTTCGGTAATGCTCTTCTTGACATACCACCACTCGGAGCTATGACGTCCAATGACCTGTACCTTTTCACCTTCTACCAAATTAATGGCTTCGTCGTTATCGGCAATGTAATTGCAGATAGAGTACATGATGTTCTCCACTTGAGATTCTGAAATAATTGAAATGTTATTAAATATTTGAAAGGTGTATAAAATTGATCAAATATTTACCATCCACATCCATTTCTCTGGTAATGTTAAGAGAAGCACCATCTGTTCGGTAGTAAAAATATTATATTATTATATTATATTATAATGTATTAAAAAAGCTTTTCTTTGGTGAATTAGATATACATGTATGGTTGGCCACAAAATATAGTTATGAGTTAGCTACTAACATTTATGTGTGTTGGGTCGTTTTACCTCATTTTTCTAAGCTATTGCCATATAAGCAGATGCACGATTTGAATTGAATGAGAAATTATTGCAGCCTGATATTTTTAGAAGTTTCTGAGTTTTAATGTAAGCCAAAAGAACTTACCTTCATTGAAAAGTTGTTGCACAACTTTACGCTTCTTTTTGAATGTGAGAGAATCTTCATCATACGTAATTGAATCACGTTTGGCATGCCGAAGGCCAATAAGGAATTGCTCTTCTTCTTCGTCTTGGACTGAATAATGTGGCTTGGGCTGCTTCTTAGGTTTCAGCTTGAAGTCAACCTCATCTGGAGGCAGCTCTTCAACCATGTACTCTTCAGGCTCCTCGACCTCGTCGATGGTATCCTCGTCGTCGTGGATTTCTTCAATTATTGGACCTTCACCATCATCATAGTCTTGCAAAATTTTGATTCTGGCCTCATCAGTGGCTTCAGAGTAGGTCTTCTTAATTGGTTTCTTGAGTTTCACTTTACCAGACATTGACACTTCTTCTTCGGCATAAGAGTCAAGAGCAATATTAAACTCTTGATCCACATCCTCTTTAGTCTTCGTAGACTTTGCACGGAAAGTAACATTCTCAACATCAGTGAACTCTGGAATATCCACCTTCTTGCGCCGTTTGAGCTTCTTAATAGTGTACTCTTGGTCTTCTTCATCAGTGATTTGCAATTGTTTTGGTTTGGGCCTTTGGCTAACCACAAATTCTTCAACGTCATCGCCCTCTTCGTATTCTTCTTCTAGTCGCTTTATAGACAGTTCCGCTCCAGCTTCATCGAGGGTTTGCGGTTTCACTGGTCGTTTCTTAAGAACTGTAGCTGCTTCTTCAACGCCTTCGGTAACAGTATGTGGCTTTTTGAATGAGAGACTGAATTCAGTTTCTTCGAGGTCTTCAACAGTTGGTTCGAATGGCTTCTTTGGTTTCCTTCGTATTACAACTGCTTCTTCAACGACTTCCTCCTCTTCAATTTCAACTGGTCTCTCCTCAATAACAGTTTGCGTAAGTTGCAGTTCATCTGCAGCTTCTTCTGCTGGTTTTTGAGGCTTCTTCTTCTTCTTGAGTTGCACAGTTTGGTCCGATGTTTCCTCTGTAACCTTCTTTTCCGTTGGCAACTTAACATCTACTGAGAAGTCTTCTTCCTGTACCTCCTTTGGTGCCTTTGGCTTCAAAGTAACTTCAGCAACCACCTCCTCATCTTCTTCAGGAGCTTTGGGTTTCTTAATTTTGAAAACGGCATCATCAACTATTTCTTCCGGTGTTGGCTTTTCTGGTTTCTTGATTTCAACTTCCTCGACGACTTCTTGTTCGACAACTACTGGTTCGGGAGCAACTTCTTCTATTACCTTCACTGTCAGCTCTTCAGCAGCCTCCTCGACAGCCTTAGGCTTGGGTTTCTTCTTCGATACCTTTACTTCCTCCTGTACTTCTTCTGTCTTTGGTTTGGGTTTGAGTGTAACTTCAGCTTCAGGCTCTTCAGTCACTTCAGGAACCTTTGGCGTTTTCTTTGGCAACTGTACCTCTTGAATATCTTCAGTCTCTACTTCTGCTGGAGCTTCAGGTTGGCTTTCCTTGACTGTGAACTGATACTCGATGGGCTGCTCAACTGGTTTTTCCTCAGGCTTTTCTGCTGGTTTCTCCTCGATTTCTTCAACAATTTCAAGTACCTCAGGCTCTGGTGCAGATTCCTCAATTACAGTGACACTTAGCTCTGCAGCTGCTTCATCCTGTTTTACGGGTTTCTTCGACTTCTTCTTAATTTTCGCCTCTTCTGTAACCTCTTCAACGGGTTGTTTTTGCTTGATTTCAAAGACGGCTTCAGGCTCTTCTACAACCTCAGGTACAGGCTTTTTCTTCTTTTGAATAGTGAATTGCTCTTCCGGTAATTCTTCGACAATTTCTTTTTGTTCTTGAACCTTTTTCTTCTTTGGAATAGTTATTTGTTCTTCTGGCAATTCCTCGATTGTTTCCTTCGGTGCCTCAGATTCTTTAATGCTAAACTGATAGTCTTTCGGCTTTTCTTCAGGTACAGGCTCAGGGACTTCATCAACTGTTTCGATTTCCTCAATCTCATGAACCAGCTCTTGTGGCTCAGAAACCTCATCAATAACAGTTATCTTTAGCTCAGCAGCTTCCTCTTCGGTTGGGACTTCGGGTACAATAGTAACGCTTTGCACCGCCTCCACTTCATCCGCCGATGTCGGAGCAGGAATGCTTACTTGAGCCTCAGGCTCTTCTGTTACTTCTGGTTTCGGCTTCTTCTTGCGGTGAACCTTAACACTCTCTTCGAGAACTTCCTCAACAATTTCACGAGGTGTTTCTTCAATCACTCTGACTTTGAGCTCTTCAAAGGTTTCTGGCTCTTCAGCTATAGGCTCTTCAACCAATTGCTCTTCTGAAGGTGCTTTCTCTATGGGCTTTTCAACAACTGATTCTTTCACACCTATTTTATATGACTTGTATTCAATAGTAGGTGCAGCTTCTTCGATTTGTGGTTCTTCAACCAAGGGCTCTTCAACTACTATCGCTTCAGCGGGCTTTTCAGCTTCAGTTTCCTTCACACCGATTTCATACGACTTATATTCAACAGTAGGAACAGTCTCCTTAATTTCTTCCACAACTTCCTCAATTTCTTCCACTACTGGAACTTCTTGTGGTGTTTCTTCGGTGATTTGGATCTTTAATTCCTCTGCTGCAACCTCCTTGGCCTTCTTTTTAGGCTTCTTTGTTTTGATTTCTGCTACCTCGGTAACCTCTTCCACTGGCTTGCTTTCCTTAAGCACAAATTCGGCTTCCGGTTCTTCGGTAGCCGCAATGGAAGGCTTTGCCTTTTTAACAGTAAATTCGGCTGCAGTTGGCTCTTCAGGTTGTTCAATTTGTGAATCAGATACTCGAATTTTATATTCCTTTGGTGTTTCTTCAACAGGAACCGTTTCTTTTTCAACAATTTCAATTTGCTGTTCTTCAACTACAATTTCTTCTGGAGCTGCCACTTCTTCAACAACCTTTACATCCTGACTTATAGCCTCTTCAGTTTTCTTTGGCTTCTTTGTTTTCTTTGGTTTTATTTCAGCTTCTACATGACTCTCTTCAGTTGGCTTTGGTTCTGTCATGACAAACTCGGCTTCAACTTGCTCAGGTTGCTTTGGCAGTGGAGTAAACGTTACTTCGTCAGGAATATCCTCGGTAGGCTGCTCTTCCTGCTGGATTACTTTTTCCGCTTCTGATTCCTTAATCGAAATTTCATAAGAGTCAAACTTCTCTTCTACTTTCGGAGCTGGTTTTTTAACCTTTTCTTTTGGTTTTTCCTCAATTACTTCTGCCGGTTTCTTTTGAGGAGCTTCAGTTTCAGTGACTTGGAATTCGAATGATTTTGGTTGTGATTCTTCAACTTTTTCTTCTTCTTCCACAACCACGATATCTTCTTCTTTTTGCTCCTCCGGTTGAGCTTCCACAACGTTCACTACATCTTCGACAACCTCCACTGACTTTTCAATAGGCTTCTTTTTCGACTTTTTCTTTACAACGACTTCATGATCCTCATGTTGTGGTTCAGTTATCTTTAATTCGACTTCGAATTCTTCAGCTTCTGGCTGAGGCTTTTGAACGGGGAGCACAACCTCGGCAATTGCTTCTTCGGGTTCAGGTTGTATTTGTTGTGGCTCCTGAAGAGTGACTTTGAACTCTTCTGGCTGTTCCGGCTTAGGCTTCTTCTTCCTAGTCACAACCTTTTCTTCCACAATTTCCTCTGTGGTTATTTCCTTTTCATCAAAATCAATCACCTTAACTTGATGTTCCTTTGGCGCTTCTTCTGGTTCTAGAACAGTTGTGGTAATTCTGTACTCCACAGGTATATCTTCAGGAGCTTCAGTTGGCTGTGGCAGTTCCTCGATGATATCAACTTCAGCCTTTGGAGCTTCTTTCGGTTTCTTTTGTTTCACCTTTACTTCTTTGGGCTTTTCGATATCTTCGGGCTTCTCAGCAATAGCTTCTTCTTCCTTAACTGATATCTCAAATTCTGGTTGCTGCTCTTCTGTGACTTCCTCCTCATGTTGTTGTTTGGGCTTCGGCTTTGATTTCTTCGTCTTCTTGACTTCATCTTGAGGTATGACTACCTGTTCTTCTGTCGTGGGTTCCGTAACCGTTGCCTCTGAGGTAGTATCTTCAACCACTGGCTCTTCAACAGTCTTCTTGAATGGTTTCAACTTCACTTGAGAATCAGTTTCTTCGGGCGCTTCACTTTCAGGCTTGCGGAACTTAATTTCAGCTTCGGGAACTTCTTCTTCTTCTTTGGGCTTTCCAGGAACGATTTCTGTAATAATCGTTTCCGGCTCAGGCTTTGTTTTTTCCTTGGGCTTATATTTGGATTTACTGGGCTTCTTCTGCTTTTCCGGTTTCTCCGGCTGATCGACTTGCTCAAGTTCTTCAGGAACGTATTCAGGGTGCTCATAATCAACGGGCTCAAATGGTTCAACCTGAATATCCTGTTCCCTTGGCGCCTTTGGTTGCTCCACGACTGTAACCTCAGCCTTTTCTTTAGGCTTCGCTTCAATTTCTTCTTCAGCTTCCTTTGGCTTTTGTGGTATCTTTTTCAGTGTAACATTTTCTGGAGATTCTTCTTCTTTCGGTTTCTTCTTACCCTTGCCAATCTTAAGCTTAACGTCTTCGGGACTTTCTTCTGGTTTCGGCACCTTTTCAGGTTTTTGGTAGGGCTGCTTTTCTTCAGGTTCCTCCTCGCTACTAACATACTTTTCATACTTTTCAAGCTCAACCTTCTCCAAGTCATCCTTTATCTTCTTAATTTTCTTGGTCTTGTGTGGCTTGAACTTAAGTAGTTCCTCTGCTTCTTCAATATTGCGTGAAAGATCACCATTCTGCTTAACTGCGCCAATATGGCTAAGCTTAGGTATGAGTGGTGCTGGCGGATACTCAACCAAAACCATGCGAGTTTTAAGTCTGAATTTGGGAAGCTGCACAGTTTGTTCTTCTGCTGGTTTTTCCTTGCGTTTTCCAGGCTTTAGCTTCACCGTCTTGGGTACATCAGTGGCCTCAACAATTGTGACCTTTGTTGGCTTCTGCTCCTTTCTTTCAATTTTCATTGGCTCGAGACTAGCAAACTCTGGCTTCAGTTTCTTGGGAACATCGAAATCGATCTTCTCATATTTCTCCAACTCTGTTTTCTCGATTTCTTGCTCGAGCAGTTTTTGTATTAATTCATCGTGCTCATTAGTCTTCTTTTTCACCACCTTCTTTTTCTTTGTCTTTGGCTTTGTGACATCCTCCACATTGCTTTCCGTAGTCGGCTTCTCATCCTCCTCTTCTTCTTCGACGATTGGTTGAGACTCTTCAATTTCGGCAACTTCATCGATCACTCTAACTTCCAAAATTTTCTCGGGTTGCTCTTCTTTTTCTTCAGGCTCTTCATCAATTATGCTTATGTGATAATCCTTATAAGCCTCGGGTGCTTCACCTGTTATAGAAATTTGTATTTTAAGTAATATACAATTCTTGTTGCTATATAATGAATCCGTGCATTGCCTTCGCGTAAGAATGCAAGCAAATCGTTGAGCTTTATCAATATTTAAATATTTACATCAGTTTAACGAATATAATAGAACGCTGTCCAATATAAAATAAATTTCCTAGATGTTTTAATAACTTAACATATAAGTATTTGGAATAGTTAGTCATTTTACAAATATAAATGGAATACAGTTTAGAGGAGGCAAACAAGAATCTTAGTAGACTTTTTTTTAATATAAGAGCATGCATTTGGGTGTTATAATATATTGGATAAGTGTGTTTATGTGGGTATAAATAATAAAATATATTTTTAGCTGAAAAGGGAGGGAGAGCAAAAAAAATTAAGAGAATAAAGAGAAAGAAAGAGGGGGGGACAGACAGAGAGAGAGAGAGTAGAGAGAGAGAGAGAGAGTAGAGAGAGTAAAACAAAGGAAGGTGTAGGCGCGAAATGGTGGAAGTCAACGTTGGAATAAACAATAGGCAAAAGACACAGACAAAGGAGCAGGTGCTGCGTGTGCGGTGGAAGTTTGAAGCCTCAATAAACTCTCAGCTAATAACTTACTTGTTTCAACGCTTTTTACTGTGTCTGGCTTAGCTTTCTTATGCTTAACTGTTTTTTGAACTGTATCTTTAGTGTCATCTTGAGTAGGTATTTCATCTTGTGCGCTTGGTGTAATTTGTGCAGTGGCTGTGTCCTCGGGGTGTGCGATTTGAGTAGTTGTGTCTTCAGTAATTTGTAATGTCTCAGGAATTGTCTCTTCTGTTGGTTCGTCTTGTCTCTGTTCGACTACATCAACTAATTTTGGTTTGGTTGTCTTGGTCTTTTTAGGTTTGGTTGAATCAACAACTGCTAATGGTGTTTCAGGCTCGCTAAACTTAATCTCTTCTGAAGAGATTTCTCTAGGGGATTTGTCTTTCGACTTTTCGGGCATTTCAACTTTTTCATAAACCTCTTTTTCAGTCTTTGGTATTTCTTCCTCTATCAGTTTCTTAACATAATCATCTAAGTCATCTTTCTTTACTTTCTTTACAATCTTCTTTGGCTTAGGTTTGGGCTTTGGCTTCTCTTCTAATATCTCATCTGGTTTCGTTTCAATAGACTCTGGCGTGATTTCGGGTTCTTCGTCGACGATTACAGTTACGGTATCAGTATTTTCGCTCTCGACTGTTGTTATTTTAAAGGTGGTGTCTTCCTTAGGACCCTTTTTCTTTAATACTCGCTTAGTAGTTTTCTCTTGGACTGGAAGACCCTCTTCAGTGATTGTTTCAGTGTATTGTACTTCCTCTGGTTGAATTTCTACTACTTCAACCACCTTAGGCTCATCCACCACATCCTCTTCGATAACTTTAACTTCGGCTAATGGTTTTGGGAAAGATTCTTCTTCCTTTATTGACTCTTTCGGCTTAGACTTTTTATCCTTCTTTGGCTTTTCGGCCGGTGATTCCTCTACCACGTCAATATCTGTAGTTTCGGTGAGTTTTTCTTTGGGTGATGGCTCGAACTCAATTTTCTCGTACTTTTCTAGTTCAGTTTTAGGAGTTTCCATGTCTATGAGCTTCTGTATATAGTCATGTATATCATCCTTTTTTACTTTCTTAGTTTTCTTTTTCGGCGCCTTGGGCTTTTCTTCGTCTGTTTGTTGTACTGGCTCATACTCCACAATGGTAATCTCTGCATCAGGCTGGTCATCAGTAACTACCTCAATAATTTCAACAATTTCGTCATTTTCACCCTTTGGACGTTTAATTTTCCGCTTTGTTGTAACGACCTTATGGACCTCACCTGCAGCATCTGTGGTTTCTTCAGCTTTCGTTTCACTTTCAATTATTTCTACAACTGATGGAAGATCTTCCGGTTGAATGTAGCTTTCTTTTACAGAGATTTCGTAGGCTGATTCGTCTGGTTGATCTGGTTTTTCTTTAATCTTCTTTGGCTTCTTTTCTGTTTTCTCCTCAGGTTTAGGTTCTTCTTCTGAGAGAGTAACACTATACTCCTTTACATCTAGCACTTCAATATCTGTCTCCTTTTCTTTAACCTCCAAAGCTTCAACGACAGTGTCTTCCTGAGGCTGCTCTTCAGAAACTTTAACCTTTTGCTTAGAAGGCTTCTTTTTCTTCCGTGGCTCTATTACCTCTTCAGATATTTCATGTTCCTTATCCGACCCGATGATTGGAGTTGTTTCTTCTACATCCATCGTAAACTCCTCAATAGGCGTTTCCTCCGGAAGACTATCAGCAATGTCTATTGTATCTGCGGGCGTTGGCTTTTCCTCAATTAATGGTATTTTTTCCTTCTTCTTAACCTTCTTTGGTTTTTCAGGAACTTGCTCAGGAATTAATTCCTCAGTAACATCAACAACATCTGTTGGCTCTTCTTTTGGTATATCTTCTTCAATAACTGTTCTGATGAAATCATCAACATCATTCTTTTTCACTTTCTTTGTACGTTTTTGCTTCACGGTTACTTCGTGCTGATCTTCAGTTTCGTTGGGAGTAGAAGTTACAATAGTAATTTCAGATTCACCAGTATCCTTATCCTCTACAACTGTGATATCATGAACTATCTCTTCTGGGCCCTTTTTGTGTTTTATTTTCTTTGTTTTTACTTCCTTTACTTTAATCTCTCCTTCTTCATCTGGAATCGGCTTATTTTCAACAAATTCTTCAAGAACTGTAATTTCGAAAGATTTTTCTTTTGGTGTTGGCGCAGCAAATTCTTTAACCGTAACTATCGCCAGAGATTCGTCTAGTGGACTTTCTAATGGTTGTATTATATCTTCCGGACCTGCAGTAATTAATTTTTCAGAGATATCTGGAACTTCTTCTTCTGTGATTGTAACCTTCTTCACAGGCTTCTTCTTTTTCATTTTAACAGGTTCATCGAAATCTATTTTTTCGTATTTCTCCAACTCAGATTTTGGAATATCCTGTTCTATAAGCTTTTGTATATAATCGTGTAAATCATCCTTGGGAACTTTTTTAGTCTTCTTGACCTTTTTCGGCTTTTCTTCTGGAAGAGTTTCTTCAATTTCTTTTTCGGCCTCTTCAAGAGTTACTGAGACTTCATATACAGGTATACCATCCTTTTCAGTCTCGACAATTTCTATTATCTCTTCTTTGGGACCAACTTGTTTTCTGATCTTTCGTTTGTTAACAACCTTCTTACTTGTTTCGCCAAGCTCGTCTGTTTCTTCGACTATTTCTGGATTTGTTTCAATTTCTTCTACTTGGAAAACGGGTTCCTCTGTTATCTGTACATCCTCTGACTCCAAAATAACAATTTCAGAATCTGGCAGTTCAGTCACCTGTGCTTCGTCGACTGAAGACATTTTTACAAGATAGTTTGGATGTTTATCATCGCCAATTTCTTCAACAGGCGTTGACTTAACCTGTTTCTTTGACTTTTTAGGTTTCTTTTCTTCAGGGAGAACCGACTCAGTAACGTCTACAGTATAATCAGTTAATTCTTCTGGTGATTCACGTTTGACATCATCAGACTGATCAAGCATATCGCCTTCAGGTCTTTCAGCCGTTTCAGGTAAATTTTCTTCTTCGCTATATTTATATTCCTTTGGAGATTTTTTAGTCTTCTTCTTTTTCTCTTCGATGATCTCCTTGACGTCTTCTTCAATGGTTTCGACAGGTATTTGTTGAACAAAATCGTCAATTACGTTGATAACATACTCTTGTATGTCCTCCTTCTTTAGCTTTTTAGTTTTCTTTATTACTTTCTGTTCAACAATTGGCGTTTCTTCAGTGACAGATGGCTCAATTTCCGTTAACTCAGCAACTGTCACTTCTGCCATTGGTTGATCATCGCTAGTGGTTTCTGTTATCTCAAATACGCTTTGCTTGGAGCCCTTTCTATGAGTGACCTTACGCTTCTTCACAGTAACTTCTTTCACTACACCATCTTCTGAAGGCTGTTGTATAACTTCAGTCGTTTCAGCTATTTCATCTAAGACGATTGGAGCTTTCTCAACCTTTTTCTTTTTCTGTGGTTTTTCTTTCTTCACTTTTGTTGTCGGTTCGTCTGTTATGTCTTCAACGGTCTGCATTGGTTCTACGATTTCGTCTAGTACACTTACTAAGTATTTGTTTGCCTCATCATACTCCAAAGGCAACTCTTCAGGCTTTTCTAATATAACAGACTCCATATCTTCTTCTGTAACCCCGGGCTCTATTTCCGAAACATCGTATTCATGAACAGTAACGGGTAGACCATCAATTATTTCCACCTTCTTTTTATGATGGGCTTTTACTTTTTTCTGTGGCTTGGGTTTTGTTTCCATTTCCGTGGGCTCATATTGCTCTAAATCCGTCTTGGTGATTTCCTGTTCGATAAGTTCTTGAATGTATTTATCTAAGTCATCCTTTACGGCCTTCTTCTGTTTCAACTTCTTAACTACCTTAGCTGGCTGTTCTTCATTTATCTGAGCTTCCTCTTCTACCGGTATCTCAGTAGTTGTTACTTCAATATCGGCGTCTGGCTTGTTTTCTTGATAGGTTTCGGTTATCTCAATCAAATACTCTTTGGGTCCTTCTTTCTTCTTGAGTCTCTTTGTAGTTTTAACCTGCTTAACTTCTTCTCCTTCCTCATTTACAATGTCTTCAATTGTAGTTTCAGGAGCAAGCTCTTCAATGCGAATAGTGTGATCTTCCGGCTTTTTGGGTTTTTTAGGCTTTGTTGTCTTTGTTTTTATTTTAGGAGTTTTATCTTCAGTAATCTCTTCAACAAAATCTTCTGGAATTTCTTCAACTTGAGTAACTTTCTTATAGTCTCCTTCAGGAATTTCCTCGACTTGGCCTATATCCTCAAAATGTTCTATCGGTTCAACAAACTCTTCCACGACATTTATTACATAACTTTCAACGTCGTCGCGCCTTAATTTCGTTGGCAATTTGATTGGCTTAGGCTTTGATGGACCCTTAACTGATTGGCTTGGCTTTTCATCTTCAGTAATATCAACGATGGTGACTTCAGCCAAGGGCTCTTCATTAGTAGATGTCTCGGTTATTTCAAAAACGTGTTGCTTTGGACCTTGTTTGCGAATGATCTTACGCTTCTTCACTTGAACTTCTTTAGTAGCACCTCCATCTTCAACAAGCTTTGTAATTTCAACAGTTTCCGCTATATCTTCAATGCTAACTGGTTCTTGGTCGACCACTGACACCTTCGACTTCTTTTCCTTCTTCGGCTTACGCTTTGACTGTTCTTCAGTTGGTTTAACCTCCAAATCTTCGGGCTGTGACTCTGAAATATCCTCCTCTACCAATTCAATAACGGATTCTGGAATTGGCTTCGTTTCTTCTGGTTCGAACTCTTGAATGGTAAATTCATGAATTGTATGTGGCACCCCATCAATTATTTCGGTAATTTTCTTATGGTGTTTCTTTATCTTCTTCGGTTCTTTAGTCTCCGGAGATGACTCTAATTGTGCTGTTTCATAGACTTCAAGCTCTGTTTTTGGAATTTCTTCCTCTATTAGCTTCTGAATGTAATTATCTAAATTTTCAGTTTTGGGCTTCTTTTTCTTTACAACCTTAACTTTGTGATCTTTAGGGGTTTCAGTTTCTGATTCAGGTAATATTTCAGTAGTCTGAATAACGAGTTCTGCTTCGGGATTGTTTTCTTCGTAAGTTTCAACAACTTCGATTAGATATTCCTTTGGACCCTCCTTCTTCTTAAGTCTTCGCTTAGTTGTAGTGCGCTCTACCTCCTCTCCTTGCTCATTAATTACTTCTTCAGTTATAGTTTCAGGAGCGAATTCCTCAATACGAACTGTGTGTTCGGAGATCGGAGCAGGCGTTGTTATCTCAGACTTCTTCTTGGGTATTTTTTTCTTCGGCTTCGGCGCACTTTCTGTTATTTCAACTGAATGATTATCGAAGGATTGTATCTGCGGTATTTGCTCATCCTCATCAACAGGAGTCTTCTCTTGCTCTGCGATGTCTTCGATCTGCACTGGCTGTTCTTCAATGATTGTAACTTTCTTTGGCTTAGGTGATTTCTTCTTTTTTTCCAGTGACTTCGGTGTTGGTCTATCAACCAGTTCGTTTTCAGATTTAAATTCATCTTCGCTAATATCGTCAACAACAGTAGTTTTGAAAGATATGATATCATCATCTTCTATAGGCTTTATTTCTTCCACTGTGGATACCTCTTCAGAAATGTGGTCAAGAGTTTCTGTTGATACTTCATCTACAACCTTGACAATATATTCCTTGAGCTTATCTTTTTTCACCTTTTTGATAATCTTCTTTGGTTTTTCCGGTTTGTCTTCATTAGGTACATCAGTACATTCTTCCACGATCTCAGTAGTTATAACTGTAACCTTTGCTTCTTCATGATCATCAGGCTCTTGGGTTTCCACAATTTCTATTTCGTACTGCTTGGAGCCCTTCCTAGTTTTCACCTTGCGTCGCTTAACTATTTTGGCTTCCGGCTTGTTAGCTTCTTCAGTAGACTCAGGAGTAGTCTCAGTTTGTTCCTCCAAAACAATAATCGGGAGAGTCTCACCAATGTCTGTTATAATGTCGTCCACATCGAGTGTAATAGTGTCAGTTGTCTCTTCAACAATTTGTTGGGCAACGGGCTGTGTATCAATCGTGCTGATTGTGAATTCATCGTGTTCAATAACAGTTTCTGGCTCAGTTATTATTTCTTCTTCGACTTTAGGCTCAGGCTTCGGTTTCTTGACCTTCAACTTCTTAGCCGGCTCTTCCTGTGTAATTCCCACTTCAAAAGCCTCTCCTTCATCGATAGGGGCCTTTTGTTGTTTCGATTTATGTTTCTTTGGCTTCTTTGGTTTTGCATCAATATCAATTTTTTCATATTTTTCTAGCTCAGTTGTTGGAATCTCTGCATTTATCAGCTGCTGTATATATGCATCTAGATCATCCTTTTTCATTTTCCTTGTCCGTTGTTTGGGTCTCTCAACTATATTTTCAGTATCAGTTTGCTTTTCTGATTCAAGAGATGTAATTGTAACCTCGTATAATGGCTCCTCGTCCGATGATTTAAGAGTTTCTACAATTTCAAGAAGCTCTTCTTTGTCTCCATGTTTATGCAAAATTTTACGTCTTGGGGTCTTTTTAGGTAGAATCTCATCAGAGGTCTCTTCAGCTTCGAGCTCAGTTAGCTTTACTTCATAGAAATCAGTTATTGCAGTTTCATAGAATGTTTGATCAGGCTCTTCTTTAAGATCTGCTACAAACTCATCCAATTCTTCTTTGTTCATACGTTTTATTTTCTTCTTAAGTATTTTCGTTTTGTTTGGCTGCTCTTCTTTAAGTTCAGAACTAGTCACAGTCACTTCATACTGCTTATCATTGTTATCACTTGAAGGAACTTCAACAATCTCAATGATATTTTCTTCTAGTTCAGTTTTAAGCTTTAGCTTACGTTTTCTCTTAGGTTCTTTTACGGGTTGTACAACATTTTCACTTGTCTCATCTTCCACTTCTTCAGGCTCTAATTCAATTACTTCGAATTTGAAAGTAGGTTGGTTTTCCTTCTCTTCAGTGTCCTCATCACTTGGGTTGAATCTGATGTTATCATCAGACTCTATGAACGGCTTAGTCATTTTGCTTGGCTTCTTTTGTTTGGGCTTTTCCTTTGGTTTTTCAGTTGTTTCTCCAATACCCTCATCAAATATCACTGGTTTCAATTCGACGGTTTCAGTTGATTCGACGGTTTCTGGAATTTTACCTTTTCCGATTTTCAATTTCTTCGGCTTTTCATCCTTTTCCTTTGCGTCCTTTTTACCGCGTTGGTATTTTGATTTATCTGCTGGTTCATCTAATGGCTCCTTCTTATCATCAAATGTTTCAGTATCTAATTCTTCCAGTTCTGCTTTTACAGGCTTAGTATGCTTGAATTTCTTTGGCCGCTTCTTCAATACTTCATCCGCTTCCTCTATATTCCGTGACAGTTCACCATTATCTTGAATAGTTTCTATTTCAGTAACTATATACGGGAAGCAGTATGGTGAATAAGGTATGAATCTTATCCAGCTCTTAAGTTTCTTATTCTTAAAGGATGCTTCGTTTAATTTCTTTTTCTTTTCTTCTTGCGGACGTTGTTTCGGAGTTTTGAGCTTGAGCATTTGAGGAAACTCGACCACAGAACTTATTTCAACCATTTTAGGTTTCTTAACTTCTATTTTCTCAATTTTCATTGCAGTTAATTTCATAGGCTTAATAGACGAATCTCTGCGAGCTCTTTGTGGATGTTCCATTTCTGTACGTACATACGGTTGCAAGACGGTTTTTGGTATTTCTTGATGGATTAAGAACTGTATATAATCATCCATCTCATCGCGTTTTGATTTGACGACCTTTTTCTTCTTTGGCTTATCTTTTTTCTTAGTTGGTTCCGTACCCTGTTCTTCATTAGCAGTTTTTTCAACCTCAACTTCCTCTAATTTTTCAGCCTTTGGCTTACGCTTCGACTTAATTTCGTCAACAGGCTCCCCAAAACCTCCCTCATCTTCCCCTGTCTCGTCAATCTGTTCGTATTGTTCTAATTGTGTCTTTTTCTGTTTTGGTTTCTTAAGTCTGGTCGGTGTTTGTTCGGTGTTATCTGCACTTGCATCTTCGAGTTCTGTGATAGTGTACTCTTTGTTGTATTGGTCTGTTTGAGAAAAAATTATGTGTTTGTGTGTTAGCACTAAACTAATTTGTTAAGATTATATTTGCATTTTATATAATGCGTTAAAACACATTAACTTTGTAGTTCAAAAAGTTAAGTGTTTAAGATGCTTGCATATAATGTTAACTAAATTGTTGATCGATGTTTGTAATGTACGTTTTATGCTTGTATTATTTTTTTAAAGTGTACACTTACAACCTCAGTATATATCGTACTAGAATACTTATGTACTTATGTGAAAGTGTTCTAGCCAATCAAGTTAGTATATATATAGTGCCAAAAGTTTTCAAACAGAATTTTGTGTTCTTGTGTATATATTTTGTTTGTGTTACTAAATTGGAAGCTAATTTGTTTTGATTTACTTTGAAACATATCAATGGCAATTAATATCGTAACCTATCGAACACGTATTTGTGATTAATATCTATTATTATTTTTTTTTCTAGTCATATGAATCAGGTATAAAAGTACATAGACATGAAATATGCATGTACTTGTATATATGTGTTATAGAAATTATGTAAAGAAAATCACCTGTAGGCTCGTTGACTTCAACAATTTCAATGATTGGTTGTGTGGTGTCTTCCAATATGGGTTCTGTGTCACTGAGTACTTCCTCAACAACGATGCCTTCCTCTTGAGAAATTCTCTTACTTTCTGTTTGAATTGTGGTTTCTCCATCTTCGTTTTGTACAGTCTTAAATGTTGTTATGTAAGTTGGGTGTTCCGTTTCAATGTGTTCGGGTTGCTGTTTCTCCGCTGTGTTTATGTTAGAATGTTTTTTTATTTGTATTTTTTTTTAATAATATGGAATGATTAGAAAAATTTATTATTAATAGTCTAGATACGTTTGTAAAATTTAAAATGATATAAAATAATACTGATCTGGACCCTATCAATTCTGTCACAATTAAAAAAAAAAATAATGAACAATAAACTGTGTCTAACTCATTGCGTCTAACTATCATAAAATATAAATGATATTTTGCGTATACTTCAATTGTTAATCTAGTGTAAAATGTGTTGTATGGAGAGTGATGTGGCTTGTGTTCTTACCCTTAGGTTTGTGTGGCTTTTGTTTTTTGTGTTTGGGAAGTTGTTCATCATCTAGTTTACTTATATCAATAATATCAGCAATATTTTCATCACTAACAACGCGTATAAGTGAATACGGCTCTTTGCCTTCTTCTTCAACTGTTTGTATTTGATAATATTCTTCATCCTCAGGACCTTGTTTTTTAAATGTTCGTGTTTTTGTTGTCTTTTTCCTAGGCTTCTTATTGCCGGTAATTTCTTCAGTAAAAACAATCTCTTCTGGAAGTTCCTCAATAGGAATTGGCACTGTAGAAGTTTCATCAGCTGGAACAACTTCAACATGCACACTTGTTATTGGCTGTGTATTTTCTTCTTCGACAGTATTAACTGTAGTGAGTTCATCGTGATTTTCATCAATCTTAGTTTTAAATGCTCTGGTCTTTACAATTTTTTTCTTTTTTGTTCCGTCAGGCGAAATGACATCGACTTCAGTTATTTGTTCGGGTAACTCAACTGACTTACCGTCAGTCTTAACAGGCTCAGTATAAGGAAGTTCATTGACAGTTATTGTAAAAACAGGCTCGCCTGATTCTTGTTCAGAAATATCAATTTCTGTTACTTCCTCCTTAAAATTATCTTTTGGCTTCTTTATCACACGCTTTTTAGATTTAAGAACTTTTTGCACCCCATCTTTGCCCAGAATTTCAGACTCCACGGTTTCTTCAGGCAAAACGACAACTTCAGTGAATGTTTCTTCTGGAAGGTCCGGGAAAGGCGCTTGGAAGTTCTCAACCGTTACTCTCGTCTGGGTTGGCTTTTCGTATTCCTCTACTGTTTGAACTTTAGTAACTTCCATGTTAGAGCCTTTCACCTTTTTAATTATTTTAGTTTTGATAACTGTTTTAGTTGGAGTCCCATCTTCTTTTTCAGAAAGAATTACTGATTTTCTCTCTGGTAGTTCAACAACTGAAACATCGTCCTCTGGCTTGTGCACAACAACTCTCTTTTTCAAGAAAATTTTCTCTCCAAAGGGACTTTGAGTGTCCGCTTCTTCCACAGTTATAGTAGTTTGCGGCTTCTTATCCTCTTCTTCTACAGTTTCAATTTTAGTGATTTCCTGTTTATCTCCTTTAACCTTTTTGATAACACGTGTGCGTATCTTCTTCTTCTTAGGCTTGCCATCCTCAGTTTCAGTTTCAACGACACGAACCTCTTCCGGAAGCTCCTGAATCTCTTCATGTTGTTCTTCTTCCACTGGAACTTCTTCCACTGTGACAGTAGTTTCGGGTTGTTTGTCATCTTCTTCGA